TGCCCTTTCCCAGGTGACCCCCTGAAAGCCCAAGAATCACACCTTTTCTTGGACAGAGATCTAAAATGGAAAGATGACCTCCAGCTTCTGCGTCCTCCAAACATGATCATTTCCTGTAGAATGATGTTCACCTATCGAATACCCTCCACAGCCAGGACGCCGCTCTGCGGCAGGCACCAGGAATAGCAGTGGTGAGCAGGACAGACCCTGTCCCTAGTATCAGTGTGATCAGGTGTTTAACTCAGCTTAAGACTTTCTGAGAACTTAGAAGAGCCACCTGGTCGGCTTCAAGCATGCTTGTCCTTTGACCTGGAAGAAGACGCCTGGAGGAAATGGAAGTGTGATGTGGTACCCAGCAGAGAGCTGGCACTTGGGTGAATGAGTGACAGGAATAGCTACCATTCACTAAGTGTTTACTCTGTGCCAGGCACTGAGCTGATGCTTTCTCTCAGCTCCTGTAATCCTCTCAACACCTTCAAAGCAGGTACTAGCGTTTTCTCCTTTACCAGACAGGCAGCTGATGCTGGGGCGGTGGAGTCACCTGCTCCAGGCTACACAGCCTGTGATGTGGGAAGCCAGAACTCTACCCCACAGCCGCCGGGTTCCAAAGCCAGTGATGTAACCACATGCTGTGTGGCCTCCGTGGGGAACGTGGGCTGTGTTTAGGGGTACGGGCACACGGGGGCTCTGTGAAGGCAGAACCATCACTTGCCATTTCTACTGCTCACTACTGAAGAAAGGCCTGATGGAGGGGGCTCTGTGGAGCCGGTGTCACAGCTCTGTGCTGTGATATGCAGGGATTCCCACCCAGGCTCCTTTCTCGTGTCCCACTGGTGGGATTTCCCCGGGCAAGGTCGGGGTGGTGCCAACAGCGGGACTGGCTCAGGGGTGGGGGACAAGCAGGTTGTAGCAAGTCAGAGGAGCCGGAGTCTCCCCAACCCGTCTGACGGGTTCCCACAAGTGTTTCACCCACAGAGCCAAACAGCAGTGGGAGGGCTGGAGTGTGTTTTGTTCTGGGGAAAGCTGGAGCTGGCTTCAGCGTTGGTTCCACAGCACTGGTTCTAAACCCTGAACAGAGGGATGGCCACCTGCACACCTCCTCCCAACACACACACTCACATGCACTCACACACACACGCACACACAGCACACTCGCTCTCACACACATGCACACACTCACAGACACATCACACTCATACACCCCTACCAGCACACATTCACACTCACTTGCACACCTCCTCCCAGCACACCTTCTCACACAGCACACTCACTCTCACACACACAACTCATGTACACGTGCATGCACTCGCTCACATGCTCTCACATACATCACACTCACATGCTCACACACTCTCACACTCAGACTGTCTCTCACACCTCCTCCCAACGCCCCTTCACACTCATTCACACATCTCCTCCCAACACACACAACTCACAATTTATATACCACACAGTCACACATACACACTCTCACACACACTTACACATCTTCTCCCAATACACACACACACATACACACCACACTCCCACATGCTCACTCACACATCCACACACTCTTACACTCTTTCTTCCGCACTCCCACAAACCCACACTCACTCACTCACAACACACACTCACACACACACTCACGACTACTGCATGAGGCAGTCGATGAGTGATCACTCCCCTTCCTCGAGCAGCGGTGGCCTGCTGACTCTGTAAGCGCCCTCAAGGACTCTCCTAGCCCACCTTGGAGAGGGTTTCATCCTTCCTGTAATAGCTGCAGGCGTCTCAACCCCCCTCAATGAAGGGGACCCTCTTCGCCTCTGAGACCATGGCCATTCTCACTAGGAAGAGTCAGAATTTCCCTGGCAACAGTGTCAGGGAGATGATAAACTGAGAGGGGGCAGGAGACAGAATGTGTCCTGAGTGGGAGAGTTGACCTCCAACAGGTAACACCAAAAAGGCTCAAGTCTTTCTCCAGCAAACCTGCCCACTTCTCCCCTCTCAGCCAAACCACATCCTTCTCCTTTCTTGTTGGTTCCAGGTGCTCCTTTCTCAGCAAACCTGTCTCCCCATTCAGGTGCGGTTATTCTGTGCCCCATGACGGCTTTCCTTTTTCTCCCTCACACACAGCTCAGGGAGATAGCTGCCTCACTGGAGCCCATGTGGGGCATTCTTCTCTCCTCTCACTTGTCTTCTTGTGCATGCTTCTTACGTGGCCCCCAGTGTCGGGGGCTGAGCATGTGAGAGTCTCCCAGCCTGGGGCTCCCTGGGTGATGCACACCCTTGCTCCCATCACACACAGGGAGCTCAGCAGGAGGTGCAGCCCATCGATGCACCTTAGCTATGAAGATGCCATGAATTTGAGGCATTTCTAGTTCTTGCCCACTCTCTCCAAAGAGCTGAGCTGGGATCTGCACCGAGGCTGCTGTATATTAAACCAGCAGGGGAAGAAAGGGGCTTGATTAAGCTTAATTAGGTTTTGGCAACAAATGCCATGTTGTCCCCCTTTTCCCAGCCCTGAGTTCGACTGTCAGACGCCCTGTGGTGTTGGTTACCCATGAGCGGCTATCCCTGAAGCTGGCCCAATGTGGCTGACTGCTTGCACAAAACGATTTCTGTGTTATTCATGCTCTGAAAATAGAAAGCACTGCATTGGAGAGGAAGCAGGATCCAAAACGCTGGGGTGAGGACAGCCCAGGCCAGCAAGCAGTTCTGAGTGCCAAGC